CTGGTATTACAAGCGTGAGCCCACTGCAGCCTGGCCAGTTGATCAACTTTCAAAGAAAGAATATTCACACAATTCTAGATTTAGAGAAGTTTATGAAGCGAGGCGGGCCGGGTGGCTCACACCTGTGAATCCCAGCAATATTGAAAGGCTGAGGGCGGCCAAATCCATGATGCCAGTTCTAAGACCAGCCTGGTTCAACATGGTGAAAACCCATTCTCTACTAAAAATACAAAATTAGCCGGCGTGGTGGTGCATGCCTGTAATCCCAGCTACTTGCAAGACTGAGCAGGAGAATCACTTGAACGCTGGGAGGGCGGGCTGCAGTGAGGGCCGAGATCATGCCATTGCACTTCAGCCTGGGTACAGAGAGGATTCCCCATCCCAAAAAAAAAAAAAAGAAAAAAAAAAGAAAGAACGGAAAAGGGGAGTGGCTTGGTCTGAGGACACTGAGCTGTGGGACAGGACGTCACAGACGACGAACTCATTCTTGGCACTTACCAGCTGGTTTCTGCCACCTCTTCAGTATCTTCAGGAACCAGGGTTACCACGAACACCCTATTAGAGTGGCCAAAATTCTAATCGCAGACGATACACATACTGGCATACTGCGAGAGGACGTGGAGCAAGAGGAACTCCTCATTCATTTGCTGGGTGGGGATTGCAAATGGTCCAGCCACTTTGGGAGACAGATGTGGCAATTTCTTCTAAGAAATAAATATAGGCCTTACCATAGAATCCAGCAATACCTTTCCTTGGTATTTACCGAGGGAACTGAAAACGTCACGGGCACATAAAACACATATTGACTTTACGGTAACTTTATTCATAATTGCCCAAACTTGGAAGCCACGAGATGCTCTGCAGTGAGTGAGTGGATTAACTGTGTGTCCAGACAATGGAATATCACGCCGTGCGAAGAAGATCTGAGCTCTCAAGTCACGAAAAAGACGTGGAGGAGAGCGAAATGTATATCATTACATGAAAGAAGTCAGCCCAGATAGGGGATCCACTGTCTGATTCCAACTATGTGACACTCTAGAAAAGGCAAAACTATAGAAAGAGTGAAAAGTTCATTGGTT